CATCATCATCACCAGCATCAGCATCATCACCACCACCATCACCAGCATCAACATCAGTTACCTTCATCACATTATAGGTACTGATATCACATTACCATCACCATCATCATCACCATCACCATCGCCATCACCAGCATCAGCATCATGACCATGACCATCACTATCATCGTCACCAACGTCATCAACATTATCAGTCACCTTCATCTTCACGACTACTACCGCCATCGTCACAATCACCACCACCATCACCACTGCCACCAGCTTGATCATTATCTAATGTTAGTCGCTGAATTATTATTTTTTTATTATTATCGATTAAAGGGAGACGATGAACGAGGGAACAAGTTGTTCTCCTTACCTGGCTGAGCTCTTCTGCACTGTCTGCTCGATGCCATAAACTGATGAATGAGGCCCCCAACCAACAAGATGCCGAGGCATATCATTAGAACATACAAGAGGAGCATGTAGAACGGCGACCGAACGTCGAGTAGAGGAATGACGGCTTCGTCTTCTTCACCGTGTACCACCGCAGATCTTCTGACATCCTGTTATTACAAGAATTAATCGTTTGAGAAAAGGGTTCCAGGAAGATGATTGATAATGAAGTCAACATGTGTATCATCATCACCAACTACCCACGCTGATTTCGAAAAAATCATAATCATCATCATCGGCGGCAACAGCAACATGATCAGCAACAGCAGCTACTTCATCACCCACCACCAAAACTTCTATCATCATTATCATCATCATCATCGGCAGCAGCAGCAACATAATCACCACAACCATCAGCAGGAAAGACACTATCATCAGCGCCAAATACCAACACTAACATAATTGTCACTATCAGCAAAGCCATCATCGGCACCAACATCAGCAGCAGCAACAGCATTATCAGCACCCACCAGCAACACTATTGCCATCATGAACCACCACCATCAGCAGCAGCCGCATAACCAACATCATTATGCACCATCATCGTCATAAGCAGACACAGCAGCGGAATCAACATTATCGTCATCACCATCGGCAGCAGCAACACCATCATCGGCACCCACCACCAACACCCTAACAATCAACATCATCAGCAGTGACATAATCATGCACAACCATCGTCATCAGCAGTAACATCATCATCGGCAACCACCACCAACACTATTACCATCATCATTATCAACGGTGACATCATCATGCACCACTATCGTCATCAGCAGCAACATCATCCGCACCCACCACCAACACTATTACCATCATCATTATCAACGGTGACATCATCATGCACCACTATCGTCATCATCAGCATCATTGGCGTCCATCAGAAACGCCATCAGTACAGCATCACACCACGAACACCACCATCATAATCATATTGCCTTCATAATCATATCTGTTCGTTTTCTCACCATCACGTTGTAGTAGTAATGTTCCAGGATTTCAGATATGTCCTTGGTTCTATACTTAAACAGCCGTCTCAAGCAAGTAGTGGCCGGGAGAGGAAAAAACATGTCCAGAGCCAATCCATATGAGATATCCCGCATATAAAGACGAGAAATCACCAGGCGAGAGTCCTTGATGGAGTTGAGATGATCGATGCCAAACGGGATCTCCTCGAGGATTCCGAAGACTTGGTTGTTGATAAGAGAGGTATAGGCACCGTGGAAGCTAGGAAACACTGGTAGGACAAAATGAAAGAGTGAGAATCTAAAAAAAGTTAATGATTATTATTTGAGCCAAAGAAAAAAGGCGGCGCACATGACTTCTAGTGCTCCATAATCAAAACACTCGTTATATCTCATATATTCTATAAAGAGAAATAACAAAATGGGCTAAAAATAGACTACCTTTCACCCTGGCTCCCTGATGCACCGCCTCAATGTACGCTTCGGTTCTCTCTAGTACTGCAATCTATTTACAAAACATATAACATCATTATTACTCACAAAAAATCTTGAACATGAGGATGTCTGTATGTAAAACTGGGCATCTTTGATTACCGCAGCAACGGAAAATGGGAATGTTTCACAAAAGCTTGTGAAGAAATATTTCAAAGCCGACAATGAGTAGCCTGCGTCACATACGAAAATTCCGGATGTGAAGCAGGCTAACAATGGGGACTGGACGGGATTTCAAGTCCGCGCAATTAGTTCCAGTCCTGCCGAGGACTTGAAATCCCGTCCAGTCCGATTTGGAGGCTTTGAAATGACATCTCATACTCATTGATAATTCGGGAGGTTGTATGTTTAGGATTGAAAGACTCAAGGGACAGATATGTCCCTGAACTGAATTAATTTTGATCCAGTCCAAGGACTTGAACAAAATCAATTCAGTCCTTTCACAGGACTCTACCAGGTTTCAAGTAGCATCATGTGACCCAAAAAAATAGCCCATTGATTAGCTGGTTTATCATGAATTATTAATGCTTATTAAACTTGGACAGTCAGGAGACCAAATCTTGTATTTATCTTTAAAAATCTCCATTGTTGGACGGTCGGATATGAAATTCTTGCAAATATATACTAATCAAAAGAGGAAGCCTAGGAGAAAAACCTTCGAGTTATGGTCGTAAGAAGCCCAACAAACTCTGCTCAAATAATAAAAAAATCAAATAAATAAATAAATAAATAAAAATAAAAATAAATAAAATAAAATAAAATAAAATAAAATAAAATAAAAAATAAAATAAAATAAAAATTTACAAACTCTGCTCAAATCAGAATACTTACATCTTTACCAAAAATCTCAATTTTCTTGTCCATAGACGTAACAGTCAAGGCAGACTCGAGCGTGGCAACCATGAAGGAACATATAACCAGACCAAAGAGTATCCAAACCATTCCAAAAAAACGGCCAAAAAACGTCCTGGGTGACTTGTCTCCATACCTAAAAGAGAAACTTCAAGGTAAGACGTTCAACATATTAAATCTCTAGTATATGTAATAGATATAACGCTGTAAAACTGATTTGATTGCATATACACTTTTGTTTCGTTAAGTTAAGGGATTAAGTGACTTCCCATCCATATATCTGTACCATAGTTGAAACAGTAGAGCTCCGAAATCGAGTGATAACTTTCGTAAGTCCCACTCATGCTATATCCATTCTTAAGGGAAGCTATTTCAATGTTACAGCATGTCGTACTGTAACTGTACGTGCTGTAAGTCCAGTACCTTATGTTTCCCACTCACAGGAGAACCAATCTTATAATGTTACGGCATATCCTAACGTGTTAACTGCTGTAGGTCAGTACCGACACACAAACACTTAACAGCAGTTTTATATTATATAATTCTGATTCAATAAAAACGAGCTCATTCGAAAATTTCACGTTTCACCTCTAAAATGTTTTTCCCCTCCAAACAATTGTTTGCCTCCACATATTCGCGAATTGAAGTCGCAAGGTAGAAAGCCGAGAAAACCCAATCGAGCCACCTTAAAGTGTTTGCTCGATATTTTCGGGGGAATTTCTGCAAATCCCCCACCAGTTATCTAATTGATGGTCCTTCCTTACTCGCGTAAGTGTAATTTATCTTAACTTTATTTACCCAACGGTTGTCATGGAGACAAAGGACCACCATATTCCATTCGATGCACCGCTAAGGAATTCCTTCGGGAATTCTCCCTGGTTGGCGTGAAATTCCTTGAATAGAAAAATATCATCAACATTTGTGTGTTTAAAAATGTATAACGAGCCACAGCGAACAAACTTTGCGAACAGCAGGGGTACTAGTTGCTAACGTGTGACGTCATAATCTGGTTACATTGTGGTTTCAATATTTCAAGATCCTAATATAATTACGAAGCAGAACGTAGATCAAGAATTCAATTAACAAACTGGGGTACTGGTCGAAAGCCTGCTGCTGGCTTGATGGAGGGCTTGTTATCCAAGGAGAAATAGATTTCCGTAACCTGCTGGAGTTTTTGCTGCAATTTTAAGGCAAAGGAAGGAAATAGATCTTGAAATACAATAGATATCAACGAGAATAGCAGACTTTTCGATTTTCCACCAAACTGTGTTTATGTCCTAGTCAGGAACAACATAGTCAAGACATTTCGCAAAGGCCTGATAAACGCTCATGTTTAAATCTAAAAGTTACTTTTAGACTGCGAGCTAAGTTCCTCTATTTCCCTTGCTCACTGTCCGTCTGTCTGTCCGTGTCGATTAGTCGAGGAAGATTGGTTACGAGTCAAAAGTCCCTGGGGGAGGGGGCTGGGGAGGGGGCTGGGGAGGGAGAAAGGAAAGAAAAATAGAAAAATCTAAAAGATGTCCACCTGTTGGGGGTCTTTTGGTTACTAAGAGCGTGCGGCTCAATATACAAATTAAAATGGATAGAAAAAGAGAAGATAATTTAATTCCAAGCTTGGAATTTTTTCCGACAAAAATTTGCTTGCCAAGCAAATTTTTGTCGGAAAAAAATCCAAGCTTGGAATTAAATTATCCCCTCGTATTCTATCCATTTTAATTTGTTTTCAGTTTCAAGCCAAAGACTAAAAATGTGAAGCCAAAATTCTCGGATAAAAAAGATAATTATTTGTTGGGAAAAAAATTCATGCTGAAAAAGTCAAAGTTAAATCTATCATAAATTTTAGTAGATTTTTCACCGGTTTTTCTCGACCGATTCTCGAAACTTTTTGCGGAGGAAAATTAAAAGAAATCATAGGTTGTTGTCAGACTCACCAAAGCCCAAATGCAGATCCCTGCAATGATGACAAGAAGAATAGACGGGACAAGAACTGTCCAGGTTCCCGCTAGCGCATTCCAAACTTTCAAGCGGCCATCCTTCTGGAAGTCTTCTTGGTTCATGATGAGCATTAAACCGGGTGAAGTCAGGACTTGAACGTAAGGCAGTCCGCCACCGTAAAGTTCTTGATCGTCACTATGGACAGGAAGAATGGCCTCTGCTTTTTTGGAGAATAGTTGAGCATGTAGGGAGCTTGTGGTGTTTTGTTCATCAGAGTACTTTACGTTAGCTTCGCAAGGATGACAACAGATGCGAAAAGCGTGATTCAAGATGTCTGTAAAGACACCTTTAACTTCAGAACTGTTTCTGGAGGATTTCTTGTCAATAAATGGAGGCATTCTTTGCCAAGCTAAACGTATATCCTTAGGACACTCAGGGGTTGGGTCAGTCGAGTCGGAGAATGATACATCGGGTACTTGACTATTCAGTTCCTTGTCAATGACCGAGTGGTTTTTTTCGCGAAGATTCAGGTTCAAAAAGTTAAAGACAAATGGAGCTTCGACTTTTAGGACGGCAAATGCAAAAATGCATCCGTAAACTAGTACGAATACTTGCAAACTCGTAGAAAAAGCCATAGCTCCCTTGGGAAATGTTTCTTAGCGTTCGAGGGTTTTTCGAATTCAAACTGACTGTAGTTTCGTTCGCTAAAAGGTTGTACCGCTACTTTCCACGTTTGGAACGCTGGTGCATTAACGCGTTTTATCCGATTGCAAATATTTTTTGCACATAAGTCACATAAAGATTGAATTAATGTTTGATGCAGTTTTTAATGAGATCGGACGTCATAACACGTGATTATGATGAAATATTTATTTTCGTTTAGAGAACAATTTTAGCCTTGCAGCGGTCCAACACGAAAATGCTTCGTACCACATAATTATTATTAGATGCCTCCATTTATAGGGATTTTTGAAAATTTAGCCAATCATACAAGATCTTCCATTATTCTAAAAATTCGCTGCTAATTTCTCTCAAAACCACGTCAGGATACAAATTAGAACTTAAACTAATATTACACAAARTTGCAAGACTATTGAACCTGACTCAGTCAAATGTTTTTTCACTTATCCAGGTGTTATATACTTGATGGATAACATCATGTTTATAACTAACTACTTAGGATTTCCAACTGTGTACTTGATTTCTTGCCTTGCAAGACTGAGATTCAAGGGAACCGCTAAAATTCGATCTAAAACCTTTTGAAAATATTTTGTTTATTTTATGAAAACTTATAATTAAACTCTACGCATGGAATGAGATGATTGATTGCTTCAATGAGGAAAAAGTAATCCAAAGAACTTTTTTGGCTTTCCTCTGAGCCAATCGCGAATGCACTAGAATTTTTGCGTGGTGGGTTTGACGTGAATGGGTTTCCACACTGCTACCCAAGTCTACGGCTGTTCAAGTCTAAATGTGCATTTAAACTTGAGAAATGTTCAAAAAAAATGCCTTTTTTTGCTTTTATCCCATATACTTTTGATTTGGTATCGCAGCACGTCAAGTTTACTGAGTAAATTTGGATGAATAGGAAACCTGAGAAAAATACTAAAAGAGAACACCAAACGTAGATCACAGAAAAATGGATTTAAATTTTTTTTAAAACACACAATTTTTAAATGTAAGCAGAAGATTTTGGAATATGCTTTAATTCGTTAACTCAGAAATCTGTTTTGCAGTTGTCTGGTAAAAATAAAAAATAAAAAACAATTTCAATTATTGAGATTAAAGAAAACATAAATGTCGAACAGCACGATAGTTTGAAGTTTACAAAGTGAGCCTTTTTTACTTGAATTTATTAGAAAATCAGAGTAAATTTTGAGCTAATTCGGCTGCCCATTTTTCAAAGCAAGCCGGTCAGGTGCGAACCACATTTCAACTCTTCTAATTATTTTACTTTATAGAAAATTCATACTGGAACTTTTCTAGCGTAGAAAAGAGATTTTTTTGAGTAAATAAACTGAGCAAATAATAGCGGCCGGGACAGGCTCTAGATTTATTTATAACTAATTGAAAAAAACTATTGGACCCACGATTAAATTATTGCAGTTATTATCGTCTTCAGTTTAATGGTTTTTTGCCTAGCTTTGATGTTTCGGTATCATTTTCTTATTTTTAAAATTATTTTTCTTATTTAACGGACTGTTATAATTATTTAAACGGGAAGTAATATGCCGTATCAAAAAAGTTATATTAAAGCAATTTTTGCAATCGAATTATCTTAAAAAGAATACACATTGGTTTCTCATGAAGCGGATAAAAATGAAAAATATCAGTGTTGGTGTAATTTTAGGAAGAAGAGCGGTGAAAAAGTAATTGATTTTTTACCCATGAGTGTTTGTGGGGGACACTTTGTCTCCCCGATTAGTAAGGCGCTTGTGCCCGGCTAGAAGTATTCGAGACGTTAATAAAGTTATTATTATTATTGAGCTTTTACTCTAGGGAAAAAGGAGGGAAGGGAGGGAAGGGAGAGAAATCGTGAGGGAGGGAGACGCTGGCGGAGGAATCGATACTGGAGGTAAGAAAGGAAAAAGAGGTACGGGAGGGAGGGAAGGGAAGAGATAAAGGAGGTACGGGAGGGAGGAAAGAGAAGAGATAAATGACGTACGGGAGGGAGGGAGGGAGAGACGGAGACGCGGAGAAATTGGTATACGGGAGGTAGGAAGGGAAGAGATAAAGGAGGTACGGGAGGGAGGGAAGGAAGGAGTGAGAAAGAAAGCTATAAATAATCATATATAGAAACCTTTAAAGATTCAAATGGCAATACTGTATGACTTTTATTTCAATATATTACTCCCTATACTTCAGTGATGTGACTGCTGTACTTACTATAGATCGTTGAGTATCTTTTGGATGAAATTCTTAGTGTAAGTATAACGTTGATCATCTGGGTCACTCGCTTTACACACGTTAATGTGGTTTACATCTAGCGAAAAATAAGGGCCAACTCCAAGGTCTACGAAAAAAGACACACGAAGCTTTGTTATCGAAGACTGAAACGACCTCAAGGGGTTACGAAAGTCAGGGCATGGGTACCGTCACTGATCAAGGTCAAGCATGGCTAACTCACAGATCGAAGCTTGAAAAAAAACCACTGGCCTGATCAAAGTCAGGGCACGACTAACTCACAGATCAAACCCTGAAACAACCTCTGGCCTAATCAGAGTCAGGGCATGGCTAACTCACAGATTGAACCCTGAAACAACCTCTGGCCTGATCAAAGTCAAGGCAAGGCTAATTTACAGACCAAACACTGAAACAACCTCTAGGCTGATCTAAGTTAGGACACGGCTAACTCACAGATTGAACCCTGAAACAACTTCTGGGCTGATCAAAGTCAGGGCACGGCTAACTCACAGATTGAACCCTGAAACAACTTCTNCACGGCTAACTCACAGATTGAACCCTGAAACAACTTCTGGGCTGATCAAAGTCAGGGCACGGCTAACTCACAGATTGAACCCTGAAACAACTTCTGGGCTGATCAAAGTCAGGGCACGGCTAACTCACAGATTGAACCCTGAAACAACCTCTGGCCTGATCAAAGTCACGGCACGGCTAACTTACACATCGAATTGGAATTAAGAATACTGGCGAGATCTCAGTAACAAATTCTACACATGTGATACCAATTTCAAGGAATGACCCGTGACCCAAAGTCCCAGTTTCAGTAACTCAGTACACGTTTCAATATTAATAGCAAATATAGAAACTCACCTGACGAGTCCTTGGATACTAGTACAGAATTCAACATCCAGGAGAGTTGGACGGGTAACGTTTCGCCTATGCTAAGACACTCGAAGTGTTTCTTGTCTAACAACTCCATGAAGCGAGTATGAAGGGTCAACAGGTAAGGAGAACCTACGAAAGTAAAAAAAGAAATAGCTTAGTTTCACTTGACCATTTCTTGTCTCATGACGAATCGCCAGTTTTCAAGAAAATTCTTCCTGGCTGACAGCACATGGTAGTCGGGTTTGAACACCATTAGGAGCAAAGGCGATTCAGACTCAGTTTTAATAGCTCATAGTAAAATGAAGCACAATTCTGGTTATAAGCTCACTAGTCTCCTAACGCAAATATCCCTCCAGTAGTTATGAGCCCACTATTGGTATCTTGTGTTGAATCCTTTGATTTCAGATAAAAGATTCATAATAATAATATATTCATTTAATAATATAATAATATCTTCTCCACCTCTCATAAAAAAAAAACCCTATAAGCCCAAGGGTTATAACTGGGATTTTACGTTAATTCTTCTTTTGTCGTAACAAAAATCTTTTACAGTAAGTGAGAAAAATAACCTTGACACAGTTCTTTGACTTCTACAGAAGGCAGTAATAGGTATCGCGCTTGTGAAGAGTACGATGCTAACGAGGATCCATGATGAGGAGTGCTGTAAAACACAATTCCTTTGGTCTTGTCGCACATATTCCTGGAAAAATGTCATTGATTAGTAGAAAGTCACATCCTATCCATCCCAGTCACATCCAATCCATC